GGGGGCAGGGGCAGAGGGGGAACAGAAGAGGAGGATAGGAGTGTAGGGCAAGTGTAAAATCGGGATTTTTGAAGAGGTTGCATTGGAACTTGGGGAGAGGGGTCTGGACACATTTTTTTCAAAAAAAAGGGGTTGCAGTACATTGTTGAAAGTTGGGGAGGCTGAGGCACATTGAAAGTTGGATTTTGGGGCCTAGAAGCAATTTTCCCAAAAATATAAAGTAACACTTATTTTTTTCGTGTTGAGCTAGACTATTATTAATAGCATCCAACCAACATGTAGTTGTACCGATACGAATATATCTTTTCACATTATCAAATTTTCACGATTAGTCTCTGACAACAAAGGCTACAGCTAGGAGCTCCCATTTAACAATATTAGGGTTACTATGAATAGGTTGTTTATACATGAGTTTCCTTCTACAAACCAAAACCAAAGTTTCATCCACATCATGGAGCGTAGAGCTATCAGCTATGTCTTGTAGTTCGTTGTTCAGCGGTTAGGCTTCCAACAACATGAAACGGTGACAAGATCGATGCAACACGCCCACCAAAAACCATCTCATTCCTTTTGCTTGCATATGAACCACCCAACATAGCACACAAAGGCTCTATAGAATGGGATAATACAATGTTGAAAATAGCGATAACGCATAGCGTAACGCTTACCTCCAGTTAGGTTACAATAGCGATAACGCATATCGTAACGTAGGTTAAATAATCTATTATTATTTAAATAGTTTATACATATATAACATTCAAAATAAAAAAATATGAATAATCATCGCAATTTTCAATTTCACAAATCAATATATCATCACAATTTCACAACAAAATCAACCATGTTTGCCTTAACAATCAATCCAAAAGCATAAAATACTTCAAGTTCGAAACCAAAAAGGATCCAATGATCCATAAACTATGAAGTATGAAATTATTGGGTTGGGTTGGAATCCATGAGTATGAAATTATGAATCAAGTTGTAATGAAAGGACCCAATGATCCATAAACCCAAAACCAAAAGCATGCTTATGTTTGGACAAGGCGGCGTGAAAAGGGGGAGCTGCAGGCTAAAGTAGCAAAGAAAAGGGCATGAAAAGGGGAAGGGGAGGCGGAGCTGCAGGCGGCGTGAAAAAGGAGTGAAAAGGGGAAGGGGAGGCGGAGCTGCAGGCGGCGTGAAAAGGGGAAGGGGAGGCGGAGCTGCGTGCAGCGTGAAAAAGGCGTGAAAAGGGGAAGGGGAGGCGGAAAAATACCTAAGTTATAACTCAATCACAACCGTTCATTTCTTTTAAAAGCAATCTAAGCCATTGACAAAATAACCTAAGTTATAAAACGTTATGACGTTACGTTACGTAACTTACGTTATAGCTAAAATAATGTGCGTTATTTTGTCTTTGCGTTATTTTCAAACGTTACGTAACGTTAAGCTACCGTTACGTTACGTTAAGCGTTATTTTGCGTTACGAAACGCGTTATTTTCAACACTGGGATAATACATGCTTACCGTACTTCCCGAAGGTTTAAGAAAATCAACTCCATAACATTGTTAGGAATAAATCCGCATCGGAGTTCCTTTGCAACCTGGATCCGTATCTGTTGAGAGATGTCACATTCAAGCAAAAGGTGTTGAATATTATAGGACAAATTTTTAAAACCAACCCGTTTATAAAATTAATCTCAAAAAACGACATATTTAGAAGCTATTTACCAAATTTGACCCAGTTTCATCCGGTTGGCTAGAACTGGACCGAATTTGGTAAATATTTTTCAAATAGGTCGTTTTTTGAGAATAAGTTTCGGAACCAAACTGAGGATATGTCCTGTGATCCTTAGTCCTTAATAAACTCCATTAGTTTGGTATTTGCAAAAACATTCTCAGAATTGATGAATGTCAGCGAAAGCACTGATCGGTATATAATCGAGCCATGAATCTTCAAGCATATTATGATATCCTTTGGAATTCTGCATTTTGATTACCCCTTTGGATTTCTGCTTCTAGATAGCTGATGTATCCTAGATCACATCTACCGATTTGAATTTGAATTTTAAATCTCACGCTCCGAAGTTTAAAATTAGGTTTTGAATTTTTAATCTTAGGCTCCGAATTTTAAAACTAGGTTGTTAATATCTACAAGGTTAATACCATTAGCCTTAGCTCCAAGCCTAATTTTTCTTTGGTATTTTAAGTTACCAAATTTGTGTTTTGTATGATTAGAAGTTGTTTGTTTGTACCTAAGAGGTAAAATTTTTGGAAGTTCACTTCAAAATTAAATCAAAACTTCAACTAATTGAATATTATGTTGGAGAATCATTAATTTTTCACATGAAAATAGAACATGCATCTTTTTCCACGGAAAACTCTGCAAAAGCTTCGAGTTTCTGATCCAAGAGGAACAAATATCTGAGAATGTACAAATAAGGGTCACTTAATACAAACTATTAACACATCTGCTAATACATTTGTGGATCGATAATGAACACTTTAAAGAATTTGTAGCCAATGCATTGATCAGCCATTTGCCATGATATTCCGGTAGGTCAGCTATCTATTAGCAATTTAATTTCTTAACACAAATCCCAACATTTTCTCAAACGCAAGAAAACCGACACAAATTATCAAGATGAAAAGGATCAGTGACAAAATGTAAATTTTTGCTTTCTTTTACTTCTGAGGTATCACAAAATTGCTTAACTTTTAACAAAAAAGTTAGCATACTGTTAGTCAAAATATAATAGGGAAAAAATCTCATTGGACTGTAGCCAGCTGAAGATCTACTCAGTCAGATTACTGTTAGCTGTATCTGTATGATTCATCTGTATGAAAAAGAAGATATCCGAAAGAAACTCGAGCAAAATGCTGCAAGCTACCATTCTAAAACAAAAGGCAAACTTCTACAAAAGACTGCATTTTACTCATCTTTGCTAGTGTTGCCTGTTTATATATGTCATGTGTTCTTACTTCTGAGTGAATTTCAATCTCGTCTAAAAAGGATCCTCAAATTTTATCTTCCAAAGTAATATATCCTGTAGAAAAATTCAGCGTATCATCAGCCTGTATGAACTTGAACAAAAGAAACATAATATCAGTGTGTCAGAATCAAGAGTAACTTGATGAACACATACTTCAAAAATCATTTCTGATCAATGTGAGAAGGCAACAAGGAAAACACAATGTAGACTATTAAACAAGAACCAGAAATTCTGAACACCTGGATATGGTGCAGTAAATACATAAGCTAATTATGAATAGCTCTGGGGTATCAGTCCCGCTACCCAGAGAAAGTTCTAGACTTAGTCACATGAACTTCTGCTTCCCCCTGACAATCAAGTCAATACTAGCCAATTTGAGCCATTCTGATTCTATTCGGTTCGGTACAGTTTGATGTGAAACCCAAGGTCAATTCAGTTTAACTCAAATTTGTTTCAGCTTAGATTTCAGGAAAAGTGAGTAAAACCAACCTATTGAGTGCTCATCCCATTCGTACAATATTGAACATACGTGTTTAGAAACCTAATTATGAATTTCCAATAATGAATGCAACCCCGCAGGAACAATAGCTACTTTTGCAACTTAAACAAAGTCATGTCAGAGATGAGTTAAAGAAGGTTTTCAGATTTGAGCTTGTGCTATAATGTACTCACCTTAGCAAGTCAATGAGAAGATCTCATGAGAAGCAAAGCATGCAGAAGCTGGGCTACCAGCGTGAGCACGGATCACGCCAGCTAAAAGATCTTCAGTAAGAGTAGTGTCACACTCTTAGCTGAATACAAACATCAGCAGCAACTTCTTTGTTTCCTGAAAATTATCTTCCATAACTATGTTCACGGTCCGGGAGAAGTTCCACTATCCAAACAGATGGATCAACATCATCACTATCATCCTCAGCAGAATACACTTTAGAAGACTTAGTTATAAAAACATGAGTATGTGGAACCGTAACACTTTCTGCGTTTAGAAGTGGAACTGTAACACTTTCTGCAAATGCAAAAGTGGAGTCACCATGAACCACATAATCCTTTGATAAAATATGTTGTCTGCATTTATAAGTATCAGGTGGCATCTAAAAACTCTTGATTGCACAAGATGAGGCGTTAGATTCAGAATTAAAACACACAGCTCCATTAACCATTACCGAGATATGATGATGCTTAGACTTTTCACCTGAAGAATAAGATCTTTTTTCAGTGCAACCTACACTAGGGCATTGACATTGTGTCATAAATGTCACTGGCTGCACCCTCACCAGCTACATAAAGATCTGCTGTAGCAAACGATGCAGGAATTTTGCTTTCCATGGGACCCATATGTCTCGTAATAGTACCACAATCATGGTGCTTCTAGTTCCTCATTCATGATCGGCATCCACAGTATGCTCACTTGCTGCCAGGAAGCAATTATCTATCACAAATTATGAGATAGACTTATTGACTCAGAGCAGTGCAGATAAGTAGCATCAGAACTGCAATCCTGGGAGAAAAAACTAGAAGTTGTAGGCTAGAAGCATCACAATCTTGCTGGCAGAACAATAAATACCTAGAGAATTGCAATGCACCACACAATCATATCGCAGGAACTATCATCATCTGCAAGCAGGTTACATTTGATCTTTTCTCCTGTAGCCTCTAAATATGTATATCCATCTTGAGTAGCATGTATTATACTATTACTGAAAGAGCATCTACAGAAAAAAGTCTTGACAAAATGATGATCCATCTCCTGCCTCGTATTTGGGATGGCAACCACGTCATCCATACCATGAAGATCAGACCTAGCAGAAGAAACAGAAGATTCATTTGTTGGCCCAAGCAATTGCGGATCCTTGATATAATTAGAATGTTTCGCCTGAGTATCCTCAAAACCATAATGATCTGATCAATAGCAGAAGCAGCATTACTTGTTTCCTGATTAGGATAAATAGTACCTTTACAAGGCATTTCAATCTTAGCTCACTAGAATTTAAGTGAAATGTGTGTTGGATAAGATCATATTTAACCCAACCCGTGGCAACCAGAAAGGACCATATCAGTGGCACTAGCAGAAGACTCAAACTGACAAGTTTGTGCTTGAGATTGTATGAGTAGCTTCAGTGTTTTCAGTCGTCTGGAGATCAAGTTCTTCAGTGTTTTCAGTTGTCTGGAGAACAAGTTCTGCACCTTCTCCCTCGTGTTTAAGGAGAACCTCATCACCAGAATTACAAGATTTAGGCTGATCAGGAGAGATCACGGAATGTTTATTTGCCACTTTTTCACATCTATCAGATACAGATTCACCCGGTTCACCTGGAAAAACAGTAGTACAACATTGAAACAAAGGTCCTGCTATTTTCTTTCTGTGTATGCTTATGTTATTTAATTTCCTGTATTGAAAGTGGTTTAAGATTGGGAGTATTTTTTTCATACCTTCATCAGAAGTTGCATGTTCTTCAGTGGACCCCTTTTTCACTATAGGTTTATACAATAGACCAGTACCAGGGAAAACTAACATGTTTATGGAGCTAACTTCCTTTCTGTGTGAATGGTCAAGAGGTTTAAAGCCGAAAATATTCTTCCAGGTTTCCGTCAATTCAGCTATAGCAGGTATTATCAATTTTTCAACATTAAGAGAATAGAGAGCCTGTAATTAGGAAACAAAAGGTTAAATTCTTGAAAGAAGGAAAAAGGACAACTACAAGAACGATAATTAATCAATTAAACATAATAAACCACTACATTTATTGCTTACAAGGCTGAAATCCCTCACTTTCCCCACTCTATAATATGGCAGACAAATAATGATTAGAATAGGAAGAATATTATTGAAACTATATTAAAACTAAAAGCATATCATAATATATTGGCTGCCAAAAAACAAACATATGAAAGCATAAGGTATCACATTGAACTGCTAACAAGTTCAGTTATCCAATATAATGTAGAAAGTAAGCTCTATGATCTTTTATTTACAACCATGAGTCGCTTAGATTGTGGTTAAAGGTACGTCTAATTGCCTTCATTTTGGCAAAAACAATTAGAGCACGTGTGTTTTGAGCCAAAGCTCACATGCAATGCCTATACAATTATGAATTAATTTTATTTAGTATTACAGTTTAACAGCAATAAATTCATTAATTACTTAATTAAAATAACTTCAAATGTACTGCCGATTTCTATTTAAGTCTCTAAGAAAAAGGGTGAGAGTCAAAAGGTCTGCGGGTAGATCATACACGGATCCTTATTACTTTCCGAATCAGCTATCCAAAAAAAAAATTTTTGAACGTACCCAAATTCCATCCTTGATATTATTACACACCATATGTCCATATCCCATGAAAAAGGGATTAATGTTGGTCCAACTCCATAGCAATAAGGCCCCAAAAAACAATTCTGGCAGCTTTTTATATCCAGAAATTATTTACTTTTATATTTTTTTCCCCAAAGAATCAAGACAGACTACTTTGCACCTCCCATATCTCTACTTAGTGGTTGGGGGCCATACAAACATACATAGAGATAGAGGAAGAGCAGGAGCAGTGGTGCAATCTTAGTCAATATTTCTCACAACTGCAAAGAATGTCGATGCAGTAATTCATTATGTGTCTGATGTGCTCCAAAGAACAGAATAGTCTTAATTTGTGGCCATCAACAGATTATCACAGGCACATCAGCTGCTCGTTTTTCTTTGAATTTCCAAGAGAACAACTCAGCATACGACCATGTTAGTTCGCAGATTTGCTTGTTCTGAAACTGGCAGACGAAGTGATAATCTGCACATACTTTCAATGTTATGAAACATGTGCAAATGGTCCCTTTGTGTCCACTAACAGTTAGCAAGTTGAAAGTATTGCTCAATCTTTATCACCAAATACCTATGCATGATTAATGTCTCCAAATACCTATGCATGATTAATGCTTTATAAAGAAACCTTTTATTCTTAATGTAGGACACATAACCAAGCCAGACACTAAAGTTATCTTTGAATTTAAATTTTAAACTACCAGTGTCACAATGAGGATTATCCATATATGTATGTAAAAAATAAAAAAAAAAGGATGGTGTTCAAATAAAAGTGGATACATTAATGCTTTATACCATGTAATTCAGGAAACTCTTAACAACTGCACTTTGATGGAAGATATTACATCTCCATCTTAGTTGCATAAAGAAAGATGAAATCCCAATTATAAAATTTGTCTTACAAGAATATTACAAGGCAGCACTGAAAGGACACCTATACGGTAAGTATAAACTCCCTAAAGAAAGAAATACGAGAAACAAAAAAATGATGTTAGCCAGAAAAAGGGATCACAGACTTCCTCAAACAGGACAAGAGTTTACTCCTAAATTATGACAAGAATTTCAATGCAAGGAACCTCGGGATGCAAAAGGATACGGATATATCAGAAATGTCCATATCTGTACGATAGGATATGAATACGGATATTGAAAATCTATATCAAGTAGGATATGGATACATATATGAATATATTTATTAAATTTTTGGTAGGATATGAATAGGGATATAGATATGGATATAAGTATAATATTCTAATTAGTATCTGAAAATCTGAATATATGCATCTTTAGACGGTTGAAATTATTTTGGCCTTAGATTAGTGGATCTGAGAGTGAGACTAAACTTGATAATCAAGAGATCTAATCCTACCTTTGTGGATATGTCAAACACATTGGTGGACTGTGAGTCCGTGACTTGAATTTTTTTCTAATTTAAACAGCTCTTGTACCACATGACTTCCTCGTATCTACTTTAAATCCATATATGTTATGCAATTCACATCCATATCAATTTTGGCGAATATGAATTATGGCTTTTCCTTACAAAAGCATATTCGTATTTGTATCCATATACATGATTAGTAATCACATAGTATAAGGTAAGTACAGTATCTGATCCATATCCGAACCATTAACAAATCCCAATATCAGCAATAAACAAAAGGATGAAACTCTAAAACAAAATGAATATAAGGAAATGGGGAAGGCAAACTAAAGCAATGTGAATTTCTTATCTGCCAAGGCAGCAGCTCCTTTCCTAAACCTTTGACGAGAATTTAAATATGGCGACACCACTACTGAACGTAAGGTCACATCCAATCTCTGATAAACTTAACAATGATTTTAAATGTCGGCCGACATGTCGGACCAGAGGCTGGAGCGACACAAATATGACCATTTTAAGTCGGATATCGTTTTCGAGGCCCGTGTCGGACATGTCGGAGGATATTGCGGACATATCAGCCGATTTTCAGCCTTGAAAAATCAGAAATCGGCCGATTTTTTTATTTTTATTTTTATTTTTTATTTTTTTATTTTTTTTGATTTGACAAGTATTGGGGTTTGGGTTTAATACTCAAAAGCCTAACATGATTAATTCTTTTTTTAGCCTTTTGTTCCCATAGTAACCGGATAGCATATAATACAGATTAGGGCAAAGAAAAAATATTGCTCTCTTTCCCGACACAATCTCCTATTGTTCGTCTTCGTCTCTACAAATTAAAATTGAGAATTCATAAAAGCGTGATGTAAACAATAAGTTTGAACCATAGCTTGAAATCAATTCAAAGTCTAACACTTTATATTAATTTTATGCAATGCACTTTACTTCATGTTAATTTTATGCAAGGCACTTCGAAAGTTCTAGTTTGACAAAGTGTATTTTATTTATTTGTTTACATAATATTCTAATGTTTCCCTTCAAGAAATGGAAAACAACTCATGTCTTGATGATGAATACTCAACTCGAGTAGGATAAGCTATAACAAAACAAGTGCATTCCATCTTGGTGACCAAAATTGAGTAGAAATCCCTCCGATATGGCAATCCGATATTTAGTATATGTCACCTGACATATTTTCCCTCTATCTGACATGAATTTTAGTTGTTCGACATGAACCTGACATCCGACATTTAAAACCTTATAATTTGAACTGTATTAACCCCTTAAATTGTATTATTATTATATATGGAGAAACAAAAGGAGGAACTGATCTTAGCCATCAGTACATGGAAGTGTAGTTTTCAACCTCAAAATAAATATCTAATTGAATAATATA